ATTTATAATCAGTAGCTTCAGTGTAGCATACATATATATTTATAATCAGTAGCTTCAGTGTAGCATACATATATATTTAATCACATGGGGAAATGTGGAGAAGAAGCTAAAATTTGATAATTAAAAAATATAGATTTGCTGTATTACAAAATATTTGACTTTAGGATACACTACGGTTACTTGCAGTAATTTCTACATTATGAGGCCTCCTTTGAACGGGATAAAAGTTAAACCTTCTACTATTATGTATAACATCTTCGCAGGGGAAATATGATTTATTAATTAGGCAGTAACTTTAATATAACATTAAAATTACGTGAACACTCATTTTAATAACATCATGAACACCCAGTTTAATTGTTTGTTTGTTTGAAGTTATGCACAAAGCTACACAATGGACTGTCTGTGCTCTGCCCATCACGGGTATCGAAACCCGGTTTCTAACGCTGTAAGTCCGCAGACATACCGCTGAGCCACTGGAGGGGGGGGGGCTCAATTTAATAACATCATTATTCATTAGCCTGTTATGTTTTCCAGTAAGTTCATTTGTATTTGGATATTCAGTCCAGAGCCGTACCAAAGGAAGCCGTACCCAAAAAAAGTTTGACAACCAGTTTGAATGATTTCCAGGCAGCAAGTTCTTTCTGATTTAGTACTGTTTGAAAAACATCATTCATTAGAACTTTCGAATCTGTGGCACAACAAGGATACCTCCTTTCATTTTAGCTTCACTGATTTTTGGAAACTTGTCAGACAGATATCTGAAACCATTACCATCATTTTTTATTACATTTACAAAATTCTTCATGAGTCCCATTTTAATATGAAGTGGGGCATAAACACGTTTTGAGGATTCACTAAAGGTTGATACTCGATATTCTGTTTCCTTTGTATGTAATTCTCTCTCATTGCCCATTTCTTCTTTTTGAAATTATTTTATTATCACTTCGGGTGTCCCAGAGACACAAAAAGCAACAATGTTTGGTATACTCACTCTGTAGTCTTAGCCGGAATGCTATAATTTTTAGATCACCACATATGTTCTACCTATGGTGATCATATTAGATGGTCTCTAGTATAATCTACAAGCTTTGATAAGTTTCTTTCATGTTCACAGCATGAGCAACAGGAATCGATGGCTTAGTGTTCCCATCGTGCAAAAGTACATCTTTCAGACTAGCTTTAGAGAAGTCAATAAGAGTCTTCATTCTTGAGGATGATGTCCAGTACCTAATTATTTCATTAGTGCATCAACATTTGTACAGAAACACAAACTATCTTCTATGCTATAGTGAGAATCAAGACTTTGATGGTGACTTCGATAAATTTGAACTCTTCTTCCTGGAGCTAATAAATTCCATTGCTGTAAACAAGAACCAATAAGATCCCAGTGCTGCTTTGATAGAGACAAGAATCAGATCAATTAGCTCTTCTTGTGTGATCAGATGAGGCAGTTTATGTTGAGGTGCCACAGAAATAGAATTAGTAGATAAAGAGGATGAAGATGATTCATTATCTTTTTCGCAGGATAACTCTTCTTTAACCACTGTGGCACTGGAAGACACTCAGTCCCCATGAGGTACTGGTTTCATAGCAGATGTAATATCTAGATAATTAATGTATTGTTTATTTTTGCCTGAACAGTTAGATGATCTGTGGGCTCACGCCATATCATGGGAAATGAAAATGGCATACTTACTCTCTTCTTATTCAGTCATTGTGTCAAGCAAAACGTGCAAACTGTGCAACACACATGTGGAACCCAATATTTTTCTTGGTCACCAATATTTCACCCAAAATAGTGGTAGTAGGCTACCTTTATCTTGTGTGTGATGTTTTTTTTCGTTCCACAAATGTAGCAAAAGCCACTTTTGGAGGCAGCCAGCATTTCAAATTATTTTATAAAAAATATAATTAAATTTATGTTTACAGAACTAAAGTTTAAAAGATTAAAAAACAAAGTTTAGCAAAATTTGATTATGTCGCAGGTATGGTAGGAGGAAGAAGATCAGACTTTGTTTTGATTATGTGCAAAGCGAGTTGAAGTAACCAATCAAGTGAGTGAGAGGCAACTGAGAGAGAGGCCTAGGGGTCTAACTCCGCCTCTTTTATACTCAATCGAGGGACTTCTCTAATGTTCTAGCAAACTGAGCCAAGAGGGTTTTGTGATTCCCGGGGGGGAGCAGGTGAGCGTGAGCATGAAGCAAAAGTAATGCAATTCGCTATAATTTTATCAAGAATAAATAGCATATATGAACAATATATTTGGAATTTTACATCAATACAGTCAATGCTTGAAGTTATCAAAAATTTATACCAACATTATCTATTGTACTGAGCTGATTGCATGGTATTTCACATAGAGATGATTAAATATTGAGATTTTACAATAACACTGACTATATTTTTGAAATCAGCACCATCAAATTATCCCGAATCACTTACGTTTTCTCAAATAGCATATTTTTGTTGTCCAGTGTAATTAGAGCAAAATAAACTTTGCGCCTTTGGACCCATGTGTCATGTAAAAGCTGCATATGCAATATAATAAAAAAGAAAGATTTTATATTAATGTAAGAGTAAGAAAACACATGGCATACCACAAATGCATAAGTGTTATAAAGTTAGATGTAAGGAACGTCAGTTGAATTGGGAGAGGTGAGAAAATGGCTGAATTTTGGTAAGTCCCAAAGAGGTTAAGGGATTAGAGCACTCTGGTCGCTATGAAATCATTAGAGAAAGTTGCCACCTTCCTTCTTCAGAAGTATGGAGACAACAGGATCCCTTGTGATTATAAAACGCTGTAATCAAAACAAGTTTACAAGGTCAGAAAGAAAGAGACTTGTTTGGCATGGGTTTTTGAGAAAGGAGTATAAAAAACAGGCATATATTAGAAGATAAAAAGACCAGGAGATGTAAGAGAGACCAAATAAACTGAGAGAGTAAAAGGAAGAAAGAAATGCTTCCATGTAGAAAAAACAAAAAACAACTTCTAAATCTATGTGTTGTATAACATTGAACAGCAACTTATTATGTACAGGGTGTCCCTGAAATGTGGATCCATAGGGACAAATAAACAATTTATTCTTAACTTATTTATTATTCAAATTGCATACCATTAGCCACCATACCAATGTAAGTTCTTCTTATACTGAAATATGTACAGCTGACCTTAGAAATGTGTTTGTTGAACTTATATATTGTCTATTTTCCCTATGGATCCAGACTTCTGGGACACCCTGTACATTAGTATAAATCGTCCTCTGATAGAAATAAGAAGAATCACAATAAAGTTCAGGAGAAAGTGAAGTGCAAGTATAACATGATTGTGACAAAGTGGTGTCAAGGCAATCTACAACAAAATGGTGTCAAGAGCGACATACAACAAAGTGGTGGGAGAAATGTGATTTATCAATTTGTTAGTAATTGAAATCCAACAATGAAAGAAGAGATTGAAGTGAAACCACATCAACGAAAGCCGAGAAGGAAAATCAACTCAACTAGATGAAACAGTGAAGTTTGGAAGAGAGTAATTTTCCTTTTTTTGTTATTATCTTATGTCTTTTAGTTTGATGGTGGTTCAGGTAATTCTTACTGATTATAAATTGTGTATTTCATTGTTTAAGAATAGAGAGTTGGATATCACTGATAAAAGGTAGGTTGGAAAATATATGTAAATAACACGGTATTACTTGTAGTAGCAATTAAAAATATGAGATATTTGAAGTTTTAAATGAAGCGAGAGACTTTTCTAACCTTGAGCATAGTGCAAATAACTTGCTGAGGTACAGATAGAAATGAAACTTTGAGAAGCTGAAAATAAAGGCTTGGAAGTAGAAGCTGAGAATAAATGTTTGGTACTAGAAGATGAGAATAAGAACTTGGAAATGTAGGCTGAGAATAAACATATGGTGATAGAATGTGAGAAAAAAATTTAGGGTTAGAATTAGATAGAGGCAGAATCAGAAATAATTCGTGTTGATGATGAGTGGAAGGCAGGATAATTGTCAGGGTTTTATGTATATGTGGGCTGGAAATCTTTTACAGCAGGTGTCTGCGACTTGTTGGCGATAAATTCAAACAATAAACGACAAGCAAACAATCCACTTGTTTTAAAATAATATATTCAGAACAAGTCAAATGTATGTACAAAAATTCTTTACACTATAGAATATCACAGTTGTATCTCAAACTCTAAAAATTACTCTTTATTGTCAAAAGTCCACTCAGGCTGATCCAATTACTTTAGAATCCAATGGACAAGACTAACTATTTTTTTCTCAACCTTGTTTCTTACTGTACAATCTGTGATAGATTCAGTTATGTTACTCCGTGGGTTACCGCAGTTGTATCTCGAAATTTAAATAATTGTCTCCTTTTCCTCAAAGTCTACACAGACGGGTTGATTTCTTTAGAACACGCTTTGACAAAACAAATTATTCTCCTTATCTCTATTAAACTGTGAAACTCACTTTAAGATATTGCCCATTATGGCTAATTACTCACACGTCAACTAACTTCACGTTTTCTTTCGCGAACTAATTTTCTGACTGAACTGCACTTAACTTGCGCTCGCTTGATTGCCTATAGTTATACATTGTTCACTGAGGCCTCAAACTTTCTGTAAACTACTCGAGTAGCGCTGTAAGGAAAAGATACTCATTTAAGGTAACGAGAAAAACACCAATGCGTCGAGTAACTTGGTGTCAACAATGCTACAACAATTGGCCACACACACAACGTTCGACCCTTATCGAGTTATGCAACCAAACTTGTCTTAACTATCGCCTTTAAAATGATCAACTTTTAACACCCTTGTTATGAAAACTAAACAATCATTAAATATTAACTCACAGTTGCCTAAATTTTGTGAAACCGGTGTAAATGTTATTTTCTGTTCTTTTGAATAATAACGAGAGCAGAGGAATGATAACCGCAGGCTAAGCTGAAGAAACTAATTCCTTCATCACCTGAAAAAGCATTAGCAGCATACAATAAGGTTGAAAGAGCAGACGAATTAAAGTACGATGTAGTGTAATCAGCTATTTTAAGGACATAATTCTGGAGACTTATCGGAAGAAGTTCGGAGAGTTGAAAAACAGCCAATGAGGCATTTAGAAAAGGTTTGCAATAAGGTTTCACTAGTTCCTAGTAAAATGAATTGAAGGTCCTAATTGTACTGGAGACAGTGACCAGATTGTAGAAATTTAGGCATATGTAAAACAAAAGATAGGATCAGTAAAAAACTACTAATGACTGGGAATGTTTGGAGATATAGAGACTTATGTAAAAATTTGTCCAGCATGTCAGTTAGTTGGGAAGAGAGGCATGAATGGTTAATTTACCACTTATTAGTGTACCCTTTAGTTTCATTAGTGCTGATATTATCAGACCACTTCCAGGAACAGAGCAAGGGAATAAATATATTCTGACAGTGACTGATTCTGCCGCTAATTATGTAGAAGCTGTAGCACTAGATTCTATAGAAATGGAGAGAATAGCACGAGGACTGACAGTGATATTACCACAGGTCGATTTCTTGAACAATTCTTATCAGATTTAGGTAACAATTTTCAATAGAAAATAATGGAAAAATTATGGAAAATGACAGGAATAAAAATAAAACAAGTTAGTCTTTATAGATCTCAAACGAATGGGATATGTGAGAGAGCAAATGAGACAATTCAGGCAGTGTAAAGAGTAATAATACAGAATAATCCGGTTGAGTAGGGTGTAATATTACCTTTTGTACTATTTGCATATCGAGAAGTCCTCCAATCTAGAAGAGGACTTTCACCCTTTGATTTACTTTACTGTAGAGATGTTAAGTGTCCTTAAACTTATTAAAGATAAGCTGGTCCAGAGAGGAAACAGAGTCACGAAAGGTGTTTTTCCAGCCCTCGTGTATTGGGTGTAATAGTAGGACCTAAGATCGATGGAATATTATTATATATTGGCCTGAGGAAATCGAATATCAATTTGATGACAAGGAATCCACTTTTAGAAAATAAAGTTTGAAGACGGCCATCTCCGAGATCCATGAAGTTGAATGAATTTATTGTTTCCGATTATTACCCATTACCTCACATGAAGGATATGATAAATGAAGGTAATCGAGCATAGTACATTAATAAAACTGATTTATCACAAGGCTATTCCCAAGTCGGGTAGTACTGAGTCAAATAGGTGAGGATGGCATGGAACATTCAGTGGCATATTTAAGCCCAAAAAATGACTAGCACACAAAAAAGCTCTAAACACCATTGAAAATGAGTGCTTTGTAATCGTGTTGGGCTTCAGAAATTAAAACCCTTTGTTTTTGGTGAAGTATTTGTCGGAGAAACATAACCCTTTAATCTGGTTGAACAGGATGGAGAATGAAAACAGAAACCTGCTGCAATGGACCACAGTAGTTTAATTTTACAATAGGCTAAAGACCAGAGGGTGGCCATTGAAATGCAGAAGTCCTCTCACGCTTGAATTTACTGTGGCTTTGCTTTGATTGAAATTAATATATATTATAACTGGATACGGGATTTAACATCCATCCAGCTAAAGTTAAAGCTGTTTTTTTTTGAATGTCTGGTTGTGTAAATGAACGAAAGAGCCAGAATTTGTGAACTCACTGGTTCGAACCCAGGAATTGAGGAGGTAGAGGGTATTCCCAATTAATTGTGTATGGATATATGTACATAAAATACTGTGGACTTTTTTTATTGTTTTAGTGAATTATATAAACAAATACTGTGAAGTTTATAAGATATCTAGACGAAGACTGTGAAAGTTAATGTGACATATGTAAAGACAGAGAAATTATCAGTGTCAGCAAAATATTGAGAGTGGTTAAGCAAAAAGAGTGTACGGTGGCATTTCTGAGCCTGTGATAACATCGAGATTGGAAAGAGACACGTCCTAGGTTAAATATAAACAACATTGATGAATGTATTCCGGAAAAGGGAGAGATATGTTATGAAGTTAGGCGTAAGGAAAATCGGTTGGTTCTGAGAGAGAGATGAGAAAGAGGCCGCTTTTAGTACGTCCCTAAGGGATTGTAACACTTTAAATCATTAGAAAAAGTTGCTACCTTTCTTCGTCTGCAGCATGGAGACAACAGAATCTCCTATGATTATAAATCGTTATAATCGAAACAGGTGTATAAGGTTAGAAAGAAAGAGACTTGTTTGGCGTGGGTTTTTGAGAAAGGAACATAAAAGACATGCATTTAGCAGAAGAAGAAAATACCAGATGTATGAAAGATCAAATAAACTAAGAGAGTAAAAGTAAGAAAGAAATGCTTCCAATGAGCAACAAGACCTGTTTTAACTCTATGTGTTGCTAATTATAGTAATAGAAAGTCATTCCTGATAGAAATACGAATGTAACAAAGTGGCGGTCAGCAACAAAGTTATACAAGGACAATCTACACTAGCCGACCCTAACTTAATAGTGAAAGACTAGAGGGAAGGCAGCTAGATATCACCACCAACTCTTGGGCTACTTTTTACCAACAAATAGTGGGATTTACCGTCAAATTATAACGCCCCCATGGCTGAAAGGGCGAACATATCTGGTGGGACGGGGATTCGTACCCGAGGATTTTGACTAGACATGCCAGGCCTCCAAGAATAACATAACGTGTTTATTTTTCTATGCTATGTTTTTTTTAGTATTTTGATTATAATATAAAACACCAGTTAGTTAGTCAGTCAGTAGATTAGTTAATCAGCGAGTTAGTTAGTGAGACTTCTATAGCGTTGTCAGTAAGTTAGGAAGTGTGTTAGTCAGTCAGTTTTGAGTTAGTGCCGTAAATATGAGAGGAAATTTAACAAGTAACTGTTTAGTCTTATTTGTGAGTTATTCCTACCGCGTGATTATCGTTAGTTGGTGGAATCGCTTAAATTATTCAACTTTCAGTTGAAGATGTAAAATTACTTTTCATTACTTAGTGGACTGGATTTTACATTATTTTAATCAAATAATCAAGTGATGGAAACCGTTAGAACATTATTTTAAAAAACTATCCAGTTAGTTTTCATTTTCAGATAATGATGTTTGAATTGAAAACGAAATCCATTCTCAAACGATAAAGGAGGGCTGTATCAGTATCAGCTTTAGCATCCAACTCGTATTTCGTTAAAATACATGGGTAATTTACTTTGACAACACAAACAAAATGGCTGACGTTTGTAAATTATCCGGAATGGTGCTAATGTATGCACAATATATTTTTGCTTAAGTAAACAGGATGATTATAAAAAGCCATTTTAGCATGTTTGAACACTCCACTTATCAGAAAAACTCATGTTGAGTATGAATAAATTTGAACATTTTCACTA